AAACGAGCGTGTTGCAATTTTAAGGTCCTAGGTCATTGGTTGATCTTCATGAGAAGGTACCAGTCGCAGGTCAAAACAGGCCTAACCTGATAAAACAGAGTTAGACAGCTGCCTTGGCCTCTGACCTGGACTGGCTACAATCAGCCGGAAGAGATGTGACAAACGATTGTTGACAAAGAAATGCCAAAACATGTCGGAAATACAGTGTGATGATAAAAATTTTGTTCCGAATATGTTTATTAAAAATCGAAAAAGTTGAAATTTTCGATTTCCCCTTCCCCGGCCCCGGTGCGGGGGAGGGGTGTCTGTCTGAACACCCCTGCCCGTCTAACTCGGCTCCTGGGACACGGCGACACGCGGTAAGCGGGCATTCGAAAGAGTGTAAAAAAATATTGAAGAAAAGACTCCTGTCATTTTTTAGGTGAGGTCAAAGATCAGGTCACCAGAGGTCAAAAAAGGTCAAACTTTGCATATTTCAACAATTTTCGAAAGCCCGGCACATAACTCGGGAACCAAAAGAGTTACGTACAGCGCCGCGGAAAAGCGCATTCGATAACTCTTTCAACATTCTATCGCTAACACATTCCATATTTTACCTCAGCTCAACGGTTTAACTCCATTGAGTCCATAGGACAAAAATTCTACAAAATAACGTTTTAATGAAAAACGTTTTTTTTCTGCAAAAACTTTTGACTGAAGAAAGTGACAACATTTATTTTGCAAGCATCGTGCTCCTCTCGTCGAAAGGCGTCGAATGAACTATACGTTGACCTTGAGAGTCAATTGACGTGACCTGGTGACCTGACCTTGAACGACCCGGGTCTGAAATTTTCGGAGCATGTGTGAAAGTGATGAATGAACAGGTATACCAAAAACGGTGGCGCTGAACGCCGCAGTTTTTGATATATTTGCGAAAAACCTTAAGAAGTAAAAACGCCCCCGGCACGGCGCGGGTTAAGAGCTGGCGAAAACATAAGAGAGGCCAGTGTGCAGCTGACGACACCTTAGCCGGAGACGGTCAGTGGGAGGGGGAGGGGAGAGGGCGTGGGCGTGCCAAAGACGCTGGGTGGGGGGGGGGGAGGGGGGACGTGGGCGTATCAGCCAGTGGGAAACTGGCACATGATGAGTGCCCGGCCGCCCACGTCCGTGTGTGGCCCGTGCAGAAATTGAGGCGCGCCAACAGGATGGGAGAGAAGCTACCCCCGCACTCCACGGGGTTGGAACGAAAACAGCCAGCCGTATGCTTAATTAAATCGACTTACCCTGAAATGACTGAGCATGTGAAGTAGCAAGAAGGGGATAGGATAGTTGGACAGATGCTGCCACAGGACACATCCTGTCAGCGGGGTTTTCTCGAAAACTGTCGTGCGTTGGTATGTTGTAATGTAAGATACTCTTGTTTTGTCTGGAAAGGTTCGGTTCAACAACGTATACATTTGAACATATTTGATAAAATCTGAAAAGTTGGTAATTGTTATTGTAACGGAAATCCGAACTTTTTGACCAGAACAAAATGTTAGCTTAACACTATTTTGTCGACATAGGTACATACCTAGTCTAAGTTTTCAGTAAAAAAGAAAAATATATATAATTTTTTTCATCAAGTGGGGCACATTCTGTCACTCAGTCCGGGACAGATTCTGTCACTGCCAGAATCGACCCCATCTGTTCAGATTTGTTGGAATTAATAGGCCTAATGCCGTTTTCAAGACGGGCTATTCGGCAAATGCACCTAATTTGACCAAATATACGCCTAATCTCTTTTACAGCAAATATCTTCATTTTATGAGACTGTTTCAATGTTTACCAGATGATATTGTCTGATAACTTGACAAAGCAAGCATATAAGCAATTAGTGCAACACTAGCTGATAGCTACTAAGAAACGCACTGAACCTTATTTTATTAACCCGGCGGCCGCTGGGCCTCCGCGCCACCCGCCGGCCGCTGGGGGGGGGGGGGGGGGCATAAACTTGCCCCCCCTTTACTTCTGCGACGATATCGTCGCAACGCGAAGAGATAGAGAAGCGAAACTTTGCACACATCTTCCTGAATACCTAGCCGAGGTTGTGTCCAAATTTGGTGTCGATCCCATTTGAAATGACGTCACAGTGACGTCATAAGTGAAATTATAGATTTGCGACTCTCATATTCCTCACGATACATCACATATATGGGACCTAATATAAAGGGCCGATTATTGGTCAGAAACTAGATGGAAGTGTAGTAAGATGTTTTAGGATGACAGCAGGTGCTGTCTAGTTCATTTACAGTCGAGTTTCATGCTCAGCGTCATCAGAAACGGTCCATGTCGGAAAACGACAAAACTTTATGACGTCACTGTGACGTCATCTTAGGTGCTACAACCACCAAACTTTCCTCAAACATTGCCTAGGTATTCATTTGAAGCTATGCCAAGTTTCACGTTCGTAGCTCATCAGGTTTCGGAGATATTTCACAAAACGTAAAGGGGGGCAACTTTATGCCCCCCCCCAGCGGCTCGTGGGTTAAACATCCAATACCAATATATACATGTCGATGACATAGATATATTCTTAGCCCGCGCATGACTGTGGGGGGGGGGAGCTCTACAGAGCCCTGCTCCCGTTTTTCAGCAATAGTTATCTTCTGAACAATTTGACGGATCAACACGAAACTTGCAGTACCCTCAGCGGCATTAATTTGAAACCTTGTGTTAAAATTTCAACTTTCTAGCTACTAAAGTTTGGCAGAAAATGACGTCAGAGTGACGTCATGTCGGCCGATTTTGATGCAAAATATTGAATTACGGCAAACGCTCTCAAGAGCTAAGTTTTAAAGCTATATCCATTTTCTTTGCATGAGTGGACTACAAATACACGTAGCTATTAAACTGCAATCTCGAATCTACAAAATTTTTGAAAATTTTGAATATGTTCTTACAATTACAAAAAAAAATTGATAAAAAAATCATTTTTTCGCAAAAACCGGAATATATGTGATAAAACGCACTCTGATGAACTACGCTAGCAATTTTAAGTCCAATATCTTCAAAAATAGCAATGTTGTTTGCATTATTGTCAAAATTTTACACTTACATATTTTTCAAATCCATTTTTCAGTACGTTTTTGACGTCGTACAGCAACATAAATGGCACCATCGTGTTCCTGAGCTCAAACTGGATCTGACAGGCACCTTTTTGTGGAAAAGTTTCATTTTCCAAATTTGACCTTTTCTGACCTGAAAGTGACCTGACCTCCGGTACATTCAGCTGAAAATGGCCTCAAATGACACAGATGACACTGTTTTCGAAATCTACGAGTAAAATGGACCATAAAACATGCGTCACGTGATCAATACGTGATATACAATTTTCGTGACCTAGGATGACCTGACCTTGACCTTAACCCTCGCCCGCACATGGGGGGGGGGTGGTTGCCACCCCCCCAGGTAGTCTTTCTGCTCTGCTCTCAACATTTTTAGCGCTAGAACGCTGATTTTTCGTATAGCTGCTCCTCTATCCTTTCTTGATGTCCACTGAAAATTTCAAGTTTCTGTGATTTTTGGTTTCGGAGATATGACCTTGTTTTTCAGGTCATGTCATGACCCAAATGGCCAATTCTCAACATCTTGCGTTTGCCATGGGTCTTGCGAGCTTTTGACACCCTGATTTCGGCCTTTTTTGCCAGTATTACCTCCCACCTATCATGGAACATGTTGTTCGACGATGTACAGGGGTCAAGGTCAGGGTCAAGGTCAACCTAGGTCATCTAAGATAATTGCGTTTTAGGCAAGCTGAATTTACTTTTTTGAATTTTTTTGACTGCATTTTTGGTAAAAGCTTCTCAGAGCATGATTTCATGTAATATGGACCCAAAAACAATCGGTGCACACATCAGTATACACACAGACACACACAGACATACAAACACATATAATTGACCTTGACCTATCTTGACCTGAAATGACCTCAGCCGCAAAATTCTGGTCGGGTAGTGTGACAAAGAGGTTCTAGCTGGCCTGGCACCAGAAAACAGCATCGTCATCGGTATCTGATAAGCAGCGCACTTGATATCCAACGGTGACCCAAAACAGCAACATTTTTTAGTTTGACCTGACCTGGAAGGTCAATGACTGACCTGAGAAGGTAAAACTGGGTATCATTGGATTTGTCTCTTCCCAAAGAATCTTTTTGGTCTTTACCGCTAAGCTCTATCTCCAACAGGAACAAAATGGCGCGGGGGGGGGGTGGCAACCACCCCCCCCATGTGCGTTCTAGGATGGGAAAATGGCATGTGCGGGCGAGGGTTAAAAATTCGTAGAAAAGTTTGTTGCCCTCAGGGTATCTAGAGCATCTGTCAAGGAATGCGTAAACCAAAAATGAGCCTAATCGGACTTGTAAGCCGGCGGTCAGAGCCCAAAATGTGAACTAGCAAAAATGTCGATAATTTTTACTTTGACCTGACCTGTGACGTCATCGGTGACTTCGAGGTCAATGGAATTAGGATTCGCCCGAGTTTTTCCAGGACTATCAGACGCCGTTAGAATTTTGACAATCGGCCCAGTAGTTTCGGAGTTAGGAAGTGAGCTATAAATAGCCCCCCCCCCCCCCCAGTAGGGCGCGTTATAAAAATATCCCAGTTGGGCTCGGGTTATATAATCATGCTCAGAATTACTGTAGCTCATCTCCAACACGTAACTACCACTATCTTTTTTTCACATTTCGTACCGCATATTGCTGTCCTCAGCAGTGACCTGGCAAGTTCAGAGCAATGCGCCATGTCCGGCCCACCTCAGTTTCTGCGGCTACCTTCGGACACCTGGCCCACAAGGTGCCGGGCGTTTCCTGCACGCCCCCCCCCCCCTCGGCCCCACCCCGGCCAACGACATGTGCAGGCGCTCCCGTAAACTTGTACGAGTATACTTATCAGTGTGTGGGCGTCGAAGACGAGCCAATCAATGTAGGAAGTGCCGAGAAGGCCGCCTATAAAACTGTCCTGGGCCGCCAAGTCTCCACTCCTCCGACAGGTCACAGCTCGCTCTGAGAGCCGAGAGGTCACAGTTGGGTTTGACAGGTCGACCACACACCGCTGTGCATACGTAAGTCTGTACATGACTAGACTACGCAGGAGCTCCGCCAAAGCGGGGCTGCGAGCGAACAAGCCCCGCGAATTCTTGGTGTGTGTTGTAGACTCCGCAATTTTCTAGACGCCTATATAAGTTTTTTAGGGTTGTCAGTTGGTTTGATGTTTCCATATATGTTCGTGAACAACGTTTGTTTATTTCTTTATTTGATAGTTAACGAAATCCTTCATTCAAGGCCACATGTTCGCGAACATTTCTTGATTGTTCATGAACCTTCATAAATGCGTTATCATATCTGATACCTTTCACGTTGGTATTCTCATGCAGTGACGTACACGGTTGCAGGATGTTTTATATAATATAAAAATGCACCAATCTTATAACAAGCAAATATAGGTAATCGTGATGTATAATGATTCTTGCAACGCTGAGGCTTAAATTGTGCATTCCAGACCTGGCATGACGTCATATAAGGCATCACTGACTAAGGTCGTTTGGTGCAATAGTTTTTCGCCGGTTGAGTCATCAATTGCCCGCAAAAGAAATGCCACATCGAATGATATTCAGTATGACATCCTCCACGCAGTTTTATCACCCGCGTGGCTTTGACCTAAGAACCTTGACCTAAGGTCAACATCCTAAAGCGGTCTGACCCAAACAAGAATGAAAACTTTCGGACTTACAGACATTTAAAGTTAGGGGTTAGGAGTTAGGGGCAGATTTTGCACCCACCCCTCCCCAAGCGGTGCTGGGCTAACTACTGAACACAAGACTTCGGTTGTAAAATACACCCCAGTCATGCACGGGTTAGGTTGAACATGCCTGCCAGTAGACAGCATTGCAGGATTTGAGTGCAGCCGAGCGTTTGTCTGTTTGGTTTTCAGGAGGATGTTGCGTCTGCTGTTGGCTCTGAGCTGCGCGGCCGCTCTGAACACGGCGCCGGGCACCGTCTATGTGCCTCTCAGGGATGTCTTCCAAGCCGTGAGTTCCGCCCAGGGGCATGATGTGACAGCCTGCTTGTCATTATCTGATAGTTTTACTTTACATATGACGGTGATTTATAATTGAGCAGTTGGTCGGTTTCAATGTAAAAGAATAGTGTGTGGAACATGATAGGGGGTGGGGTAAAGAAGGGTAGCTAAGAAATGTCCTAAGCCTACGCTTCATTGGCCGCAGGGATTCCCAAGTAAATGTGCCTAATAGAAAGGTCCATGTTTAGTCGACTACAGAATGATGTTCCACTTTTCACGGGCCATTATTTACCTGGAGTGGTAGGCTGTGCCGCATCACACAGGCTGAGTTCACAGATTATAGCTTTGTCCCAATGCTCACAATCGACACGCTTAATTGCGTGATAACGGCACAACTTAGCGCTCCGGTCAACTGATAGCTTCTGAGGAGTGGAACATCATTATGTAGTCGACTATACTCGTATTAGCTCTAACTTTCCTGTCGATGACTTTTGTCTACGTCTGGTATAAAGTGACGGATTTTGACCATGAATAAAATGAGACACGTTTCTGATTAAACAAAAAATCGCAGGGCAAAGTGAACCACTGTGTTGGGGGGAAGTGGTCCACTTTGCCCCATTTAGCCAGAATTATGCTGAACTTTCTAGTTTCTGGTCCGCTTTACCCCATTTTCAAATATTTTGTTTGATCACGCATTGCAGACAACATGCGCCGAATAACAATTGCTGCTTAACGACGCAATTACAGCCATATAAATGCATTTCCGAAGTACAGACGTTCATGAAAATAAAGGCATAAACATGGTAGCTATGATGACATTTATTTTGTAACACTGAAGTTAGAAGGGAAATTCAAAAACGCACATTTTTTGCTCTAGAGCGAAGGAACTCACCCGGATCAGGCTGCCACTGCAGGTGAAAGTGCGTATATGGGAAGCACTTCTAATGGCTATCTAAAAAATGGATAGCGCTGCTAATACGTACTTACTTACAACAGGGTGGGTGGTTCGCTTTGCCCCGGTGGTCCGCTATACCCCACTTTCCCCTACCTATCTCATAAAAAGCGAGAACAGTGAAGTTTTTTCACGCTACAGTTTTCATTAGCGTAACAAAGGGGAGGGGGAAGGGCTAGCTCAACTTCAGTGAACAGGGGAAGGGGTATCAAGAATGGCAAAAAAACGTATGACGTACCTAATTTATGGACGGCCCCATTGCAGAAAATTGAAATACACATCTTTTGGACGAATGTCGTTCTAAACACTCAAACATCGGTTCATAGGTAAACATAACACACTGAATCGGAAAAGTGCACCCGTGACCTATCTGTGTGCCCGAGGTCATCCCATGTCATGAAAGGTGAACGATATTTTTATACTATAACTTTTGATAAAGACGTGCTATGACGTGCGGTGAAACACACCAGATTTGTTCAGCTCGACGACATTGATCGACTGATGTGCAACATGACCCTTTCCGGTCAAGTCTTAGTCTTATCATTTGTCAGATTTTCAAAATGATCTTTTAATGTCGAACTGCCATTCATTCAACGCATCTTGACGAAAGGAACACGATGCCGGCATAAACAGTGTCGTCTCTTTCCTGAGACACAAGCTATTTCAGAAAAAAAACTTTTTTTTTTGTAAAAAAACGTTTTTTTACATAACAATGTTGACTGTTGTGTGTAAATTTTCGCTCACGGATCGGATATCTTTGGACAAATGACAGGCTCGGATATTTTTGGACGGACAGAGGAGAGGGCCTTGTCAAATTCAGAAAAAGACACGAGAGGCGAGAACTGTCGTTGAAGGTCCCACCTGTCATAAAGCTAAAAAGCATTGCAGAAGTAACGTTGCCCTCTTCACCAAATGTAATGAAGAGCGGCTCGGGGTTGGTGACGGCACTGACTGGCCCGTGGTGCCGTTTCAGGGCCAGCAGTTTTTTGTCGGTGATCTCGAGGTGGGCACTCCCGGGCAGCCCATGTCGGTCATTGTCGCCATCGACGGCCTGACGTGCCTCAACTCTGTGCGATGCTCGGACCCGTACTGCACCAGCCACCGGCAGTACGACGCCTCCGCCTCGTCCACTTACCAGGTGAGCCGGCCGGCCGGCGGCGCCCTCCCACTGAGACAGGCGCGCCGTCAACTGCTGCGGGCTGGCCTGGTTTGCCGGGTTTGCCCTCTCGGCATACCGAGGACATCGCAAAGCCGAAAAGTAATGGACATTAGGGGTGCCATTGCGGTCTGGGCGGCCATCATGGTGCTCCGCCGGGGCTGTGGCCGCCACAGGGACACTTCGGTCGGGCCACACGGCCCCGCAGCAGTCACCGAACCGCACAGCAGTGAGCTGTGCGCACCGATATGGGAGCCGCTCCGATCGGGCGATGGCGACCGTCGGGCCCGAACAGCAGCCAGGGGGTTTAAGGTGCCGAGGAGAAGGATTTGTGTGAGCTGAGGATAGAGCGGAAGAATCCGAAATGGATAGCGAAATGGATACCTTGCTGTGATGATTAACGTACGTATATTCTCGATAAACACTTCGTTGCAGTCTACTAAGCGTGCTAAAGTAGCAGTTATTACATTGTCACAGCCTGCTGCGGCTACAACACTTGGCTGCCGCAGTTTTTCAGCCAGTTTGTGATGTAAACTGACGGTCTTCCACAGGAGGACGGCACTCCTTTCGACCTCCCGGGAGGGCTGAACATCAGCGGCGTGCTCTCAAAGGACTCGGTGAGCCTGGGTGGAGCCACCGTCAGCGACGTGCTCTTCGGAGAGGCCACGTCCGTCTGGAACCAGTGGTCGACCGACGCGCCCAACGACGGCGTGCTCGGTCTGGGCTTCAGTCCGGCAGCGCCGTCCATCCTGGACGCCCTGGCCGAGCAGGGAGTGATCGCCGACCGGCTGGCCGGCATCTGGCTGGGCCGGGACGGCGTCGGCGGCGAGCTGACCCTGGGCGGCATCAACGAGCAGCGCTACACCAGCCCGCTCACCTGGACGCCCATCGTGGACAACATGGTGTCGGCCGAGAGCGTCACCGTCGGCGAGGTGAGCGTGTGCGCCGCCGACTGCCGGGTGGGCGCCACTTCCGTCAGCCCCTACTTCTTCCTCACCATGCAGATGGCCAAAACCATCAACGACGCGCTGGGCGGCACGGACATCGGCCAGCCGGGCGTGGCGGCGCTCGACTGCGCCACCCTGGACACGCTGCCGCCGCTGGAGCTGGTGATCGCCGGCCGCTCGCTGCAGATGAGCCCGCGCCAGTACACGGTTGTCATCCCGCTGACCGGCGGCGAGAGCCTGTGTCTGTCGGGCTTTGTGGGCCTGTCAGAGGTGCCTCCCGCCGACATTACGGTCGGCACTCTGTTCATGCAGCAGTTCTACGCCGCCTACGACATGGACAACATGCAGGTCGGCTTCACCGACAGTGCGTAGGGGAGGAGCTGCCGCTGGATCTGCAGCGCCACCGGGAGTCGGCAGCACGGAGCCGCTGGATCCAGCGCCACCGGGAGTCGGCAGCACGGAGCCGCTGGGCCGTCCGCAGCTCTGCGTGCCTCCATCATGGGTGCTGTACTCTAGGGTGCTTTACCGGACACATTTAATTAATTCATTTTAATGGAATGTTGGCCTTGTTAACTTCAAAATGCTATCATACTTCAGATACTTTGAATAAATGAATTATACCAAATCCTATGTGTGGTAGTTTCCGCTCTCACATATCAATGAGGTTTGTTGATAAGCGTTTAGAAAGGCCTTTAAATTAAATATTCATTTGCTTTAAATTAAGAATAAAGTTAAAATTGAAAAAACGATATAGAGCCCAATTTTCAATTTTAACTTTATTCTTAATTTAAAGCAAATGAATATTTAATTTAAAGGCCTTTCTAAACGCTTATCAACAATTGTCAATCTATATATACTCAACATCAATGAGGTTTGTTTAGGCCATGCTGTGCTCTGCGTGATAATTCAGGAAATCACTTGTAAGTTCGGTGCTTTATCGGATTTTACGTGTGATCGGTACGCAGAGCAAGTTCAGCCAATGGGAAATACAGTGGGACGGCTACATTGAGGGGCACGTCCGTTCACTGTTCAGTCGAGGAAATTACACGGATGACACGGATGTTCAGACTGCAAGAAATCACGGACGACACGAATGCTGAGTCCATGCAAACGTATGAAAGCACTGGCAAGTCCAGAAATAATGGGAGGCACACAAAGGTTCTCCAATTTCCAAACACATCCTTGGATTTCGCTTACTTATAGGTACCTCACAATGCAGCTAAAACAACGTTCCTTATAAAAAATATCTTCTTATGCAAGGGAGACGGCGAAACTTTGCCAAGTTTTGACGCTGCGAACGGAGCAAATGCCCTATAAATGCTACCCTTGGCCCTGCCAGTGAACGTAAGTGTATGATAATTCACGGAAGTTCTAAAAAAGCAGAAGGCGACGTAAATGGTACCTACCCCTTGGCTCATAAGTACCTACCGAAATACCGATGAACCGCAGTATAAAGTTTGTGTAGGTATTGTAGGGGAGATCCGTGTAAGACGCCCAGGGTCGGTAAGAGGCCCCATCGCTTTTTTTACCAAACCAATAATGTTATTTATTTTTTAATGTTCTCGTAAAGCAGAAGCCCTCTTGAAACAACAACTCACGAAACCTGAGGTATCAGGTGCGTCGCAGCGACTTTTGGTAAGTCTATTTCTGTTTTTGCCCCTTTACTTGCTAGATATATGCATCTTTATCACCCTTACATATCTGAAAAAACAATGGCTATAAACTACAATCTTATCTCATCGAAATTGTCACATGTTAGCTTCAGAATAGACCCTGTTCTGGTGCGCTGCAAATGTCTCATAAACCATAAATATTGTGACGTTAAAACACTGCATTTTTTTAAGAGGCCCTCCCTTCGAGGATGATAAAACGCCCCCCGATAAAAAACGCCCCCGATGATAAAACGCCTGCACCTGCGGCAGGCGTGGCATTCTTTTTTCAAGGAGTTTGTTTTTGTTTCTTTTTTCTGTTTCTTTTCTAAGAGGTAATAGGTACAATTTTCGTTGGTCATCAGCGTTTGGTTGTGCTAGTTTTCGCATTGTTCGAGCGCTTTGGAAGTGTTTTTGGTTTCGATAACACCGTATTTGCTTAGCTTTTCGAAATAAAAGGCCTTGCAGCTGTGTTCGCAAAGCGTCTTTTACAAGTCGACTTGACTTGTGAAACACCCGGGGGGGGGGGGGCGTCTTACCATACCCATAGTGTAAGAGGCCCTTTTGCAACTTTTTCCAAAATGTTAAAGTTTACGGTTTTTGTACCCCCTAGATTCATTTTGAATGCAAATATGTATGGGAAAATGATGCATGCTCACAGCGCATGCACACGTTTGCTCTTAAATATTATCAGTTGTCTAAAAATAGCAACTGAGCTTAAGGGGGGGCCTCCTGCACCACTCTCCCCTACATATGTACATATGTATTGCGCATCGTTGTGGTTTCCAAATTGAATCGTATTTGGCTCTCACCACAGAGTCAGGACAAGACAAACGTGACGCTGTACAATGTAAAAATAGACATGAATGATGAAAGTAATGGTTGATGAAATCCGCGTACCTATGGAAAAATGATAACTGCCTACAAGTGATGTTAAAACCCTTAGATGACACTCGGCGCTGATAAGAAGAACGATTTGCTTCGGCTTTCGGTCTATGTTGGGGAGAGTACCTATCACCTCTCGGACTCGATTTCTAAATCGTTTCACGCACGCCTCCCTCCGGTCGGTGGGGAGGTCGTTCCACGCTTGGATCGATCGCAGCGGTATAAACTATAAACTGGCGCGTCGCCTCCAACTTACATCTCCGCGTCTGCAGAGCGGAACCAGCGGATACGCGTGTATGTCGCGTTATTTATAGGTATCTTGTATGTCGCTCGCTCACGTCCGCAGTCGATAGGTACTCTAAAAGAGCGGCTTCAGATTTTGGGGCGCATTTTCTGTGTTAGTGAGCAGCCGGTGAATGAGGAGGCAGTCTTAGTAGCTCGGACTTAACCCGCGCACCGACGGGGGTCTGCGCCAACTTAGTACCGACGGGGGGGGGGAATGAACTTGAACTTGAATTGAAACTTGCAACTGTAAGCGGCAGTTCTAACTGCCGTGAAGGAAATAAAAATAAACATAAAGGAGAATATGGTACCACTGAAGGCGGAATGCTTCCAAATTTTCATTCATATATTGCGCACCTGCGTCAAAAAGAGGCATGTGATTTGGTGTGTAATCCTGTTCGAAAATCTCTTTTGCACTTTGATATATTTCTCGATTTCGTTTGTTTCCTAGCAACTTCCTGCAAAATAGTTGGTTGCTAGGCAACGGCGATCATATCTGCAGCTGTAGACCTGGGATTGGTTTGGTCTGAACATAATTTCATCACTTTCCTGAACTTTGTAACGCACGCACTGCACGCGTGATACCCTCCTCGGTAGGTAAGAGAAAATGTGGGTAATATAAAATATTTATGAAATATTGTACTTACACTGCCTCGTTATCCCAGGCAATTTGTTTTTTACCCTGGTAGGGAGGAGGATATGGTATTGGAGATAATGTATTGCTGCTTGTGTTTGTGTTGATTGGTTCTAGTCTTGGCTAAAAAGGTTAAAAAATACGTATTTTTATATGGTACATTCGCCTACATTAGGTCCGATCGCCAGAGTGACTGTAGCAAGGATTTTACATGTGGTTCTTTGGCCTCCTGATTTCATAACTGATAGTTATTCATGGCAAAGTCTACACTGCTGGCGGAGTCTATCAATTTTCTGGTGACTCTGACTCTGACTGACTCTGGCTTCCAAAATTGTCTCTGACTCTGACTTCAGCTCAGATTCCAGACGTTATTCTTAAAATCCTAGTGCAGATGTCTTTTATTTTGCCTGAAGCCATCCTTTGTGCATTCCAAACTCCAAAGCCTTAAATTGCAATGAGATGCCTTATAAATAACGTGCAGAAATTGAAACAGGTTCCAGAGAATTCATTTTCTTCTGCTTCTTTCTCTCAAAATGCTCTTACAAGTCAGGATCTTAGGATCTCGTCAGGAGTCAGGATCCGGAATTTGGCCTTTTTTCAACAATTTTTTTTTAGGTCAACTAGTGTAGGATCCCCAAGCAAACAGGTGCAGGGCATGACATTGAGGCTTAAGCTGTGCACTGTGCAGTGTTAACTGTTAAGTCCAACTCTGAAGTCAGAGTCAGTAAGATTTTGGTGACTCTGACTCTGACTCCAGACAGAACTGTTGAGTGTCGATTCCAGGTGTGAGGTGCCTCTGACTCTGGCCCTGACTCTGACTTCACATCCCTGCAACCAGGTAGCAAAGCATCCAATGATCCGTGCAATATTCACCATCACTGTCATTCACATACTCCTCCGACTCCACCTGCCCCTCCGACTCCACTGGCCATTTTGCGTCTCATGGAATAAAATATGAAGTGAATCAACTCCAAGGTTGAGTGATGTATTGAAAGTTACGTCATGATAATAGTTGTAGTGAAGCAGTGCAGTGCTGGGCGCAAAATGACCCCGCAGTCGGCGCGCCCCTAACCCCCAACAAACAAACAAACAAGCAGTGCAGTGCTTCACTTAGGAGCCTTAGGAAAGATTTCAGGCAATGGTAAATCAAATATTTTAGGTTAAGTGGTTGTGTATCTGGTTTCAGGCCGAAGCCTGAAGCCTGATGCACGACCACTGTGACGTTTCTGTCATTCTACGCAGACTTCCCTTCACTTCTCTTGTAATTGTGATGTGTTTATGCTCTTTCTCAGTCGCGAGCAGTGCCGCTATTTCGCCACTCAGTCCAGCCATGGAGCTGACAGAGGCGGAGGACGACCCGGCCGCCGCCACCACTCTGTCGGGCTCTGAGAGCTCCGACATGGAGGGCCTGTCCGCGGAGGAAGAGGAGGCAGAGGCAGAGGGGGAGGAGGAGGCAGAGGAGGGAGCGCCGCGGAAGAGGGCGCGCACAGCCGAGCTGCGCCGTCCGCCCACGGCAGAGGAGCTCATCAGCCTGCGGCAGACGCAGAACCTGTTCCACTCGAACCTCTTCCAGCTGCAGACCACTGAGATGCTGGCTGAGGTGAGACGGGGGCACTGGGAGGGGAGGGGACCAACCCAGACATGTGAGGGGAGCTGGGAGCGGGGGTAGAGGGGAGACAGAGACTCCTCTGTCCCATCGCAAGGCATACAGCAGAGCTGATGGGTGCCTTTGGGCAGACTATGGTTATGTAATAAAGGAGGCAGGATTAGAAGGAGACACAGGGATTTAGGGAAAGGTTTGCAGTATGAGAGGCTGCTGGATAATATTTCACCATTATGCTGTTTGAATACGTCTCCATCCTAACTGACCTAACTGACTGACGTTAATTTAAATCCTGACTGACATATCTCGGCGCTATTGTTTTCCGTGCAGATCACGCCGTCGGAGAAGCAGGCCTCCTCGCTGTCTGCCTGGCTCTCCGAGCTCCGGCAGTGGCTCGCTGCGCTGCCGACGCGCCCGTCGCGGCCACTGCGCCGCCAGCCCTGGCTGCAGAAGTCGGGTCTGGCCGTGCCGCTGCCGGTGACCCTCCCCGAGGAGCCGGCGGCTGACCAGCTACCGTTCGGGTTCGCGCCGCCGACTGCCGTGACTGAGTCGGGCGCGCTGGCCGCCGGCGTCCTGGAGAGGGGCGGCACCGTGGACCTGCTGCTGGAGATGCCGCCCAGCTGCGTGCAGACCGGCGACATCGTCAACGCCAGGTGGGAAATAAAGGAAAGCTGGGAGAAGGGGAAGGGACCAGGGAGAGGTGGCAGTGTTTCGGGACTATTCTGGTTGGTATGTTTGACGGTCGTAGAGAGGATGCAGTTAGGATGTAGTCACTTCGGGTATGGTAAAATGTGATGCAAAAATATTAGCCATTGGATGACTTGTTGAGAGGATTTGACAGAAATGTACGTCGTCGAATAACATGTTGGAAAAGTTTGACAGAAAGGAAGGTGTAAGTTATTGAATGATCTTTTTAAAATTTGAAACTGAGCTCGACGTGTCAATAATTCAAACCACCCGCCCTAACTCCCCGCTCTGTGCCCACAGGTACGCCCGGAAGCGGGCGCTCTACCTGACGTTCCTGGCGACTCGGCTGCGCTCCTGTGAGCTGGTCTCCTCCTGTGAGTTCACGCTGCTCGGCTCTGACCCGCTGCGTCCCGCGCTGCTGCTGCGGCCGTCCGCCCGCGGCGCGCGGAAACACTCGGTCCGCCTGCTGCCCGTCCCGCCGGCGGGTGTGTTTCCGCCGGAGCGGCTCGCGCCCACCGCCTCTGCCGTGCAGAGCAAGTGGCTGACGGGCGAGGCGGTGCCGCCGCAGCGCGAGGCGCCCACGCCGCGCTACAACAGCGCCGTGCTGGCGGACGCGGCGGCTGTGGAGCTGGCCGACTGGTGCCGCCGGAGGGTGGACGAGGCGCCCGCCGCGCGCACTGCGCTCAGGATGCTGGCGGTGTGGCTCCGGCAGCGCGGACTGGACCGAGGCGCCGGCGCCGTCGACCTCGGCGTGCTGACGCTGTTCGTGCTGTGGCTCTTCCAGGAGAGGAGGCTCTCCAAACTGATGAGCGGCTATCAGGTGAGGGAGCGAAGAGGCAGATAGAGAGGATAGATCAATCCGTTGTGAGGGAGTAAGCTAGAGTTCTGTGGATGGAGAGAACACACACAGAAGAAGAGGAGAGAACACAGTAGCATGCAATACCTACCTCCTCATAACACCATTATTCTTGTATAATGTATATCCCCGCGTTATTTCCACACTCGTTGTTAATCCCTCATTGACTTTCTAATCTCCCCAGTGACTATGATCTTCCTCGGGCCCCGATCACCGTATTATCTTCTTGTGCTCATCCCCCTTAGCCTTGTTATCTCCCTGGCTGATAATATCCCCAGGCAGTAAGTCGAGGTACCACTCTCCCCCCACTCTCCCTCCATTGACGGACCTCCGCTCTCCTCTGCAGGTGATGCGCAATGTGTGGGTACAGCTGACCAAGACAGACTGGGCTGCAGAGGGCATCACGTTCGTGGCCAACCCGACCGGCCACCAGCCCGCCCTGCAGATCTTCAAAGAGGTGAGGAGGAGGGATTGGACCAGAGCTGCTGAGGATGTAAACACTAAACTACATAGTGTGTAGGCTGTTGCAAACTTCGCTGAGGTTCAGCGGTTTTTGATACTTGCATCACGTCTATGACTATTTCTATATTTTCCAGATTGGCTGTAGATTGCAACATTACTTCTATGCACAATTTTGTTCTTAAATTTCCAGTTCTCGGCCCTGTTATGTTGTCCCACAAACGCACCTCTGCTCTTCCCGGTTGTCAGAGTTTCGAGGTGGTGTTGGTGGCGCCATCTGGGTTTCTGAACGCCGCCTGGAGCGTCAGTGGCGCCACCTATTCCCGGCTCCGGGATGAGGCGGCGCGGGCGGTCGCCTATCTGGATGACCCGGACGTCGACAGCTTTCAGGTGGGGCTGTCGGTGTGTGGATATGTGGGTGGGAGGAAAGGCTGAGGAGCAACACTCCTTTTGCTGCCTGCGGTATTTTCATTTCAAGATACTTAAGCTACCTGAATTCTAGTTTAGGGTAGTACGTTTTTAGGGTAGTATTCTACTTTGGGGTAGTACGTAGTTCGCTGTAGTTGCTACAGCTCTAGTACAGCCGATTTTCACATCACGTACTCTTTTCATAATAGCGCTAGATATATCTGAGCTTGTCACAATTGTCCGTTCTTGATGTTCAAAGTGTAGGGATTGCCATCTATAATTGTTTGCTACTATGATGGTTATCGTCGATCGCTACCGTTCACCTCACTGACACCCCCCCCCCCCTTCCCTTCCACAGGCGCTGTTTATGACGCCGCTGCCGTTCCTGGAGTCTATGGACCACGTGTTCCACATCAGCACGGCGCCCCTGACCGCCGACCTGACGCCGTCGCGCGACTACCCCTGCGGCGGACTGCAGGCGGTGCTGCCGCGCGTGCTGGACACCCTGCGCCGCGGTCTGACCGACCGGGTCCTGCTGCTGGACACGGCGCGGGTCCCGGACCCCGTGTGGACCCCGGCGGAGCCGCCGCCCGCGGACCCGGACTCGCTGACGCTGGGCGTGAGGCTGAGCCCGGAGCGACTGACCAGTATCGTGGACAAGGGGCCGGACTCGGAGAGCCGCGAAGCGTCCGCCCAGTTCCGCCGCTTCTGGGGCGCGCTGGCCGGCACGCGCCGCTTCCAGGACGGCAGCATCCAGGAGGCGGTGGTGTGGCGGGCCGAGACGCTGCTCGAACACAGGATGGTCTGCAGGCAGATAGTGGCACACCTGCTGCAGCTGCACTTCAGGGTGAGCGGGAGCAGGGTGAGCGGGAGCGGGAGGAAATGGGAGAATATGAGATAGGCACTAGTCGATTATAGAAGGAGGAGAGGAAGCGGTTGAATTGAACTTATATATGTGGTTTGCTTTTTTGGTTCATTTCTAAGGCTGGATATCTTCCACACATAGTCATTTGCTGAATATTATTCGGCTGGTAGATAACGCAAACATAATTGTTCCTTACCATTATCGGAATAGCGTTGAATCATCAGAAGACTTCATTGCGTTATCATGCAGGTCACAGTTCTTGTAACCTGGCCCTTGTCCTTCTTTTCAACCCGATCCTTCCTCGTCACTGTCCCAGCCTCACCCTATCACCCCCTCTGACTGCCCCTCCCTCCCTCAGGTGCCCTCGTCTGCGCTCCGGTACCCGGCCGACCCCCCTCTCCCCCCTCAGGTGCCCCCCTCCGCGCTCCGGTACCCTGCCGACGGCCCGGAGTCCATCACCCCCTCTGACTACCCCCTCTCCCCCCTCAGGTGCCCCCCTCCGCGCTGCGGTACCCGGCCGACGGCCCGGGGGCGGTGTTAGTCTATCACCCCCCCCCCCCTCTCCCCCCAGGTGCCCCCCTCCGCGCTGCGGTACCCGGCCGATGGCCCGGAGGCGCTGCTGTCCCAGACGCGCCAGCTGCCCTCGTTCCCGTACGGCGCGGGAGAGGAGGCAGAGCTGGCCCTGTCGGCCGCCTTCGGACGTCTCTCTGCCGTGCTCCGTCGGCTCGAGGGGATCCCCCTGGCCGTGGCCGCCGTGCTGGCTACGGCGCCGGCGCTGCGACACGCCGCGCCGTTCCCGCCCCTGCCAGAGATGTGGCACGCGCTGAGCGGGAGGACAGTCAGAGAGGGGGTGAGTAAAGGGGGAGGGAGGGGGAGAGATGTGGCACGCGCTCAGTGGGAGGACCGTCAGAGAGGGGGTAAGTATGGGGGAGGGGAGGGATGAGAGGGCCGGTTCCTGGATATGAGGAGAGAGTGAAGAGGTAAGGGAAGCTCAGCTTTATGGATAGATGGCTGGAGACTAGTTGGTTTCGAGGGAGTTTGTACGACTGTAAGGAGACGGGACTGTGATTCTGTGGATCAACCGGTCCTAATCTAGTCATAAAAACATGCGTGAGGGACTTTGAAATCAAAGGTGGACGTGAAGTCTGTTGCCTATGACCAGCGGCGTATTTAGAAAATCGCGAAGGGGGGGGGCCAAGGGTTTGGAGGGCGCCACCTCACCCAAGGAGGGCGCCATACGGTCGCGAGATAAAAAATCGCTCAGCGGGGTGGGGGGGGGGGGGGGGGAGGCGTTTTTTACCATGCCACCAGTTTTTTTTTGCGTAACCTCGTATAGGTCGTGCTGCATTGATTTTGCATCGTGTGTATTCTTTATACTCCAGGTCACAAAAGGTCAAGTGTTCTTGAAATGCTGCGCCGAAGGCGCGCGAAATTTTTGAAAACAACCTTTTCCTCCGCTTTTTAGGCACGCCTTTTATACGATCACCGCTCAAAGCTCCTCTCGCTCTTTTACCAAATTTGAAGGTGTAAAAAATACCTAAGGTTTGGTCGGGCCGCTGCCACACAAACTGTATAGAAAGCTTGGCTCATGGGTGTCGATGTATAAAAGTTTATTGGCGGTGGCATATCTACGCACCAGATCACCGTATCGGATTGATACCGGAGCGCGAGATGCGTAAACATCATCCAAATTACCTCAGACCAGCCTTCATAGCCTTCTCACAGATGCATACAGTGTACCCACATAACCAGTTTCAATCACCGAAACTTCAGATGCCCATGCTGTTGCGGCCGAACCTGTTGACAATACTTAATCGTAATCCATATAGATGCCATGATGCACGTAAAGTAGGATCAATCCGTTAAGACCAAAGACGTGTTTTATGCATCGTAGAGCGTATATAGTTTTGGTAGGTATAGGTACTTCATTCATTGTTCTGAATGCACGTTCATTTGTGGCAGTTTTCACAGGCAAGACATCAACTATGTGCAATAGAACGACTAAGTTGAAAAACATGCCAAAGGAGTAAATAAATGATAAGAGGGCAGCGATCAACGGATGTTGCCAATAGGTAGAAGGGCTGCAATCCACAGGAGGGCGCTAATAGGTAGGAGAGCCCCGATCAACATCCCGAGTTTCGATAGTAGGGCACCGATAGGTAGGAAGTTGGCGAGCAGCAGGAGGGCGCCAATGGATAGAAGGGCAGCGATCAACAGGAGGGCACCAATAGGTAGGAGGGCCCCGATCAACAATCAACAGGAGGGCGCCACCAGGTAAGAGGGTGGCGAGGAACAGGAGAGCACCAATAGGAGGGTGGCGATCAACAAGAGGTCGCCAATAGGTGGGAGGGCGGTCATCAACTGGAAGTCGTTAATGAGCGGAAGGGTGACGATTAAAATGGGGGGTGGCAATGGTGAGGAGGGCGCCTTTGCTCAAGAGGATGACACGAACAGGAGGGCGTCTGTGCGGAGGGCGCTGGTCAACAGGCAGGTACCAGTGGATAGGAGGGCGGTGATCAACAGGAGGGTGCCAGACGCCAGTGGTTAGGAGGGCGGCGATCAACACGAGGGCGCCAATAAGAGAAGGGCCCCGATTAACATTCAACAGAAAGGACTAGGGAACCAATAGGTAGGAGGGCGGCACTGAACAATAGGGTGCCAAAAAGGAGAAAGGCGGCCTTGAAAATTTCACATGAGGGGGCAATAGGTAGGAGAGCGCCAATAATTATGAGGACGCCGATCAGCAGAAGGGCGGCAATATGTAGCAGGGTGGCGACCTACAGGAGGGCGCCTTCGGGTGAGAGGGCGCTTATTTACGGGACAGCGGCTTACATAGGCGACCACCGTTACGCTTAGAGAGCTACAGCCTACAAATGTGGTTGGAGGGCGCCCGAGGGAGCCCTCCAACCGTATTTGGAGGGCGTATTTGGAATGGGCGTCCTCCGAGGGCGCCCTCCATCCGTATTTTCCCTGTAAACACATTCGCGATTGGAGGGCGCCCTCCAGTCGCGATTGTTTTTCGATTCGATTATATCACAATTGCATTTGCGATTGGAGGGCGCCTCCGGCGCCCTCCAATCGCAAAGGGCGCCTTCGGCGCCCAAGGGGGGGGGGGGCCATGGCCCAGTGGCCCCCCCTGCCTACGCCCCTGCCTATGACTGTTGTATCATGTCACACCCAAAGGGGTGTCAGCTGCTGGAGCTAGCCGTATATGACGTCACCCCCGTCCCCCGCAGGCCAATTAGCTGCTGGAGCTGGCCGTATATGACGTCACCCCCGTCCCCCGCAGGCCAATCAGCTGCTGGAGCTGGCCGTATATGACGTCACCCCCGTCCCCCGCAGGCCAATCAGCTGCTGGAGCGTCAGACGGAGCTGCCGCTGCCGTACGCTCCCGTCTGTGACGTCACCCCCTCTCTCACAGGCCAATCAGCTGCTGGAGCGTCAGACGGAGCTGCCGCTGCCGTACGCCCCCGTCTGTGACGTCACCCCCTCTCTCACAGGCCAATCAGCTGCTGGAGCGTCAGACGGAGCTGCCGCTGCCGTACGCCCCCGTCTGTGACGTCACCCCGTCTCTCACAGGCCAATCAGCTGCTGGAGCGTCAGACGGAGCTGCCGCTGCCGTACGCCCCCGTCTGTGACGTCACCCCCTCTCTCACAGGCCAGTCAGCTGCTGGAGCGTCAGACGGAGCTGCCGCTGCCGTACGCCCCCGTCTGTGACGTCACCCCCTCTCTCACAGGCCAATCAGCTGCTGGAGCGTCAGACGGAGCTGCCGCTGCCGTACGCTCCCGTCTGTGACGTGGTCGTTCAGCTGGAGATCAGCGGGAAGTGGCCCGAGGAGCCGGAGGCCATCCGACGCGTCCGCTCGGCACTGCACCTGCAGGTGGGCACGCTGGGGAGAGAGACTTGGGGAGGCTCACCCTTCTGCTTGAAAGAAAAATACATTGTCAGGCAAATCACGTACGCTCTTTTTCACCTTCTTTACTGACTAATATCGTCTATGGCTATATTCTGAAACGGGTGCTCACATAAATATCAATTTGCTGTCACGTTCTTGAGTTTGGAGGTCACAGTTTGGCACATGACGGCTACGGCGGCGGTGACTATATTTTCTCAGATCTGTTGATTTGATTGGTTTCGGTCTTCGTCCTCCGTCCGCCGCGACTGTGTGTATGTTTGTGTGTGTGTGTGTATGTGTGTCTGTTCCTCGCAGATCCGTGAGGAGCTGGGCGGTCTGGGTCTGACATTTTGTGGTGTTTGTGTGTTTGTATGTGTTTATATGTTTGTGTGTTCCCCGCAGATCCGTGAGGAGCTGGGCGGTGTCAGTCTGACGTTCTGTGGTGTTTGTATGTTTGTATGTGTTGATATGTTTGTCTGTTCCCCTCAGATCCGTGAGGAGCTGGCCGGCCTGGGTTTGACGTTCAGTGATGTATGTTTGTTTGTATGTTTGTTCGTATGTTTGTCTGTTCCCCGTAGATCCGTGAGGAGCTGGGCGGCCTGGCTCTGGCGTTCAGTGGTGTTTGTGTGTATGTATGAGTTGATATGTTTGTCTGTTCCCCACAGATCCGTGAGGAGCTGGGCGGTGTCAGTATGACGTTCTGTGATGTATGTGTGTTTGTATGTGCTGATATGTTTGTCTGTTCCCTGGCAGATCCGTGAGGAGCTGGCCGGTCTGGGTCTGACATTTTGTGGTGTTTGTATGTTTGTATGTGTTGATATGTTTGTCTGTTCCCCGCAGATTCGTGAGGAGCTGGGTGGTCTGGGTCTGATCGCCTCGGCCCGCCGCGACTGCGTGCTGGTCATCTACGACGGCTACCTGTTCCGACTGTGTGTGGCCTACCCGCGCGAGGCAGCCATCCTCCGGCTGAGGAAGCAGCCGGAGGCGGCCGCCGAGCTGGACAGGCGCACCGGGCAGCTGCCCAAGCTGACCTCGGCTCTGGGCGCGCTGCAGAGACAGTACCCCGCCTACAGGTCAGAGACAGTACCCCGCCTACAGGTCAGAGACAGTACCCCGCCTATAGGTCAGAGGCAGTATCCCGCCTACAGGTCAGAGACAGTACCCCGCCTACAGGTCAGAGACAGTACCCCGCCTACAGGTCAGAGACAGTACCCCGCCTACAGGTCAGAGACAGTACCCCGTCTACAGGTCAGAGACAGTACCCCGCCTACAGGTCAGAGACAGTACCCCGCCTACAGGTCAGAGACATTACCCCGCCTACAGGTCAGAGACAGTACCCCGCCTACAGGTCAGAGACAGTACCCCGCCTACAGGTCAGAGACAGTACCCCGCCTACAGGTCAGAGACAGTACCCCGCCTACAGGTCAGAGACAGTACCCCGCCTACAGGTCAGAGACAGTACCCCGCCTACAGGTCAGAGACAGTACCCCGCCTACAGGTCAGAGACAGTACCCCGCCTACAGGTCAGAGACAGTACCCCGCATATAGGTCAGAGACAGTACCCCGCCTACAGGTCAGAGACAGTACCCCGCCTACAGGTCAGAGGCAGTGCCCCGCCTACAGGTCAGAGACAGTTCCCCGCCTACAGATCAGAGACAGTTCCCCGCCTATAGGTCAGAGGCAGTATCCCGCCTACAGGCTACAGGTTAGCGGGCGGGGAGGGGGGGGGGGAGGCGCTCTGCAGAGGCAGTACCCCGCATCTAGGTGGGTGGGTGTGGGATGGGGCGGGGGGCGCTGCAGAGGCAGTTCCTGGCCTATAGGTCAGCGGGCGAGGGAGGAGGGGCGGGGGAAGTACAGAGACAGTTCCCCGCCTATAGGTCAGCGGGCGGGGGGGGGGGGGTAAAGAGACAGTACCCCGCCTATAGGTGGGTGGGTGTGGGGGGGGGGGGTGCGCTCTGCAGACAGTGACAGTACCCCGCCTCTAGGTGGGTGCGAAAGGAGAAGGGTGGGAGCCCGGTGGCTAATCTTGTGTCTCGTGTAAATGGATGGATGGCGCTAGCTTTCAGCGTGCTGGGGAGCCCTGGCGATTTGTGTTTTTAGTCTCAGTGCGTCAGACCGTTTAATAGCAAACCTTTCGTTCTGTGAGATCTTGTGTCAGAGCTGTCGGTCGTGCTTTTCGGGCTGCCGGTTAGATTTTCAGTGCATCGATGGATCCTCTGCCTCTTTAGCTCTTCCCTCTGTTGCTTTATGTCCTTCTCGGTCCTCCCCGCGCCGTGCTGACTGCTGTCTGTTTCAGCGCCTTGGTGCGCCCGGCCCAGCGCTGGCTCTCTGGTCCTCCCTTGTGTGGCTTTATGCCCTGCTCATTCTGACCTCCTTCTGTGTATTTCTCAGCGCTTCGGTGCGGCTGGCGCTGCGCTGGCTCTCTGCCCAGATGATGTCCGACCTGGTGCCCGACATCGCCGCCGAACTGCTCATGGCTCAGGTACGACGTCTGCCATATGTACATATGTGTGCGTATGTGTGTTTGGGTGTTCATGGGGTTTGCGTGAAGTGTGAACACTTATAGTTCGTTTTTTTTTTTCAAAAGGACGCTGGCTCCAAGTATGTTTTTCGAACAAGCACGTGTTTTAGCGAGCAAAACGAGCAAAAACTGAACCTGAGAAAATCGAACGTCGACTAATTTTAACATGTGATTTCTTCCCGATAATTTCCATATGGGCGTTTTGGAAGCAGATATGATAACAGCGGTGACGTCATGCTGTCGAACATGTATTTCAATTTAACTTATGACTATCATGGACGGAACCGCTCACTCGATTATAAGCTCGGCAACAGTGAAAAACTAAGTTTCACTCAAATTCGTTGACACTTGTCCCACTGCACGGGCATTTGGGTGCCTGCTGCCACCAGTGACGTCATCATAGTATGTTCAATTTTAAGAAACAATTTCTCGCTACTTACCGTGCAAAATTTGAAATCGATTATTTTTTCGGTAAGAAATTCTTGGCCAGACACTGAAGCTGCCAAAACTCACGTGAGAGCTTCGATATTGAACTTTGAGCCAGCGTCCTTTTGAAAATAAACGAACTATAGTATTTCTTATGATATGATGTTTGTGTACGGTGGGCTGGGAGATTCACTCCCCGATTTGTGATGATCGCTGTTGACGTTTGCTTTTCTCGAGAATTTATACAGCTGTTGAATACATTTCATAAGGGGACAGAAACTCATTCAAATGTTCGTTTTGTCCTGTCAGTAGCTCATCCATTGAGCAGTTCGCCCAGGTCACTGTCACTGTGGGTGAGTGGTGTCGGCAAATGGCATCCTTATTCGCCCTTCTCTCATCTGTCTCTCCGTCTGTCAGGTGTATTTGGGCAGCGGCATGTAACAGAGATAAGAGGTAATAATCTCTCCCCCCCCCCCCCCCGTCCGTCAGGTGTATATCGGTAGTGCGCCGCTGCCGGTGCCGCAGCAGCCGTCGGCGGCCCTGCTGCGCTGGCTGCGGCTGCTGGCGCACACTGACTGGCGCCAGCAGCCGCTGCTGGTCGGGCTGAATGGCGAGCTGACGGCCGAGCAGCAGGCCCCCCTGCTGGCCAGGTTCCGCACGGAGCGGGACCGGCTGCCCGCGCTGGTGGTGTTCACGCCGTACGACGAGACGGGCACGGCTTGGACCCACGAGCGGCCCACCGCCGTGGTGCTGCAACACGTACAGGTGAGGGGGGAGTGGCATCGGGGGGGGGGGGGGACCTGACCGGCCCACCGCCGTGGTGCTACAGCTCGTACAGGTGAGGGAGAGGGTCGGAAAGGGGTGATGTTTGCTGGATAAGCATGAGACGAAGAGTGTCGATGCTTTAGTAAAATGTGTTGAAGTTCTGAAAATTTAACTTCTGGTAGCCTCAGTGCTGGTCGAACAGCTAAATGAAATAAAATGTTTTCTTGATTTTCGACAAGTTTTGAAGCACAACCAGTTGCTCCTCGCTACACTCGCTGCCCTGGAGGCGATTCTCCCCTTCCCCTTGGGCTCAACTGGCTGCCAAAAGTTGGCACTGCAACGGGCGTGACCCAAGATGAGCATCTGAGCATAATATGTTTTGATTGTGAAGTGGGGACAATGCCCACTCAGATAGCACGCTATTAGCCGTTTTCACGACGGCCATCTGTACACATTTGGTACACATCTGGTGCAGATCAGGTGTAGATTTGGTCAAATCAGGTTCAGTGCGTCTCTTAGTAGCTATAAGCTAGAATTGCACTAACTGCTTATATGCCTGCTTTGTCATATTATCGGAGTGCATCATCGATTAAAACTCTGAAATAAATTAATAAAATAAAGATATTTGCTGTAAAAGAGATTAGGTGCAGATTTGGTCAAATCAGGTGCGCTCGCCGGAAAGCCCGTCGCGAAAACGGCTAATATCAATGTTGTCTGCGCCATTCTCAGAAACTGGCGTCGTCGGCTCACGAGCTTCTGACGGCTCAGCTGAACGCTCCACCGGCCTCGGCGGACCCGCTCAGCGACTGGCGAGCCATCTTCCGGCCGCCGCTGGAAGCTTTCGACATCCGTATCCGGCTGCGGCGCAAACAGATCCCGCGCCGCCACCAGGCGGTCGACCCGGCGGGGAAGCAGTCGCGTGCCGACCCGTACTCGAAACTCCCGTACGAGGCGGTTCCTGCCGCGGAGTTCGACCCCGTTCAGCGGCTGGTGGCGGAGCTGCGGGCGGCCGCCGCCGGCTGGGCGCTCGTCTGCCACGACCGCTGCGGAGGCGATGTCATAGGCGTGGTGGTGCGCCCGGACGCGCTGCGCCCGCGCCCGCTGGCGGCGTTCCGCTGTGAGGGCGACATGCCGGCGGGCCGGGGCGGTGCGGAGGTGGCCCCCAATGTGGCCGGGTTCGTGGACCTGGCCAGGACGCTGGGCGGTGAGCTGGTGGAACACGTGGAGCTCGAGGCCGACAGGCTGACGGCGATGGCGTAAGTGGAAGGGGAGCGTCCCTCAAGAGGGTCCTCACTCCCTCATGAGGGTTCTTACTGAGGAGGGCTGGTCTTCCCAAGCAGACATGCGCTGGGTGGATCGGTTTTGAAGAACATGGTGGGAGGAGTGCGTGTGTGTGTTTTGGTACATGTAACGGACGATGTTCTGCCCTGAACCTGGCGAAATAAGAGCCAGCGATGCAAATGGTGTGTCGTTGTTTTGGACGGGTGTATTTTGTATGAGACTGCCAATGGGTCTGTTCTTGGTCTGCGAAGTGGACAATACACCCCCTTCCCATTCAAAGAACACTTTTATGCTTTAAGTCGGTGTATTTGGCGTGGTGGTGTCCATTCGATTTTAGGAAATATTTATATGAAAGCGCTTCTTGGCGTTGTATTTGTCAAAAGACACGACCCCTTATGGAGGTGATTGAACTACTTTACTTATAACTCGACAAGTGAGCAAATGATATTCATGAACAAAGTAATGGGCTACAGTCTCTGAACAGATGGTCAGAATGACGCCCGTAGGACATTTAGCGTATGCAGCTTACACCCTTATGGACGACGAGACAAATTAGCACGATGAGCAGGCCCAAATTTTGACTATCGGCCCAGCTTGGACGGATAAATGCTACAACAACAGTGAATATTTAATAAACATTCAACACATCTGTAACACATTTCCAACATTTGGATAAGTTTGGCACTCCTGTAGAAGTAGCGTTTAGCTTCTTCCGCTGTTCTTTCTTCCCCAGATCATCACATGGATGAGACAGCTCCGGAAGTACCGACCCTCCTCACAGTTCACTAGCCCGGCAGTAACGGAAACCTTCTGATCAATCAACGGCCCCATCAACAAAGCAACAAACTCGGGAATGTTAGCTGACAGCTCACATCCTGTCGCACGGTTCGCCAAGTCTCCATCTCAGCATATTTCAGTGCGCACTGCGTACAACCCTTCCTCCTCACGAATCACTCAACCAACCAATCAGCTGACCTCACACATCGCAACAGCGCTGAGAACGCGCCTAGACCTTCACATCCTCTCCGCAGAGAACGCGCCTAACCCTCAACCCCTCGCAGAGAACGCGCCTAAACCTTCACATCCCCTCCGCAGAGAACGCGCCTAGACCTTCACATCCCCTCCGCATAGAACGCGCCTAAACCTTCACATCCCCTCCGCAGAGAACGGGCCTAGACCTTCACATCCCCACTGCAGTCCTCGTCTGTGTAGCTCCTGGGTTTCCTGCAGGCGTCGAAGAGTCCCTGCCCGGCGCCGAGCAGGTCGCCGTCGGACAGGGTCTGAGGCAGGTGACCTCCACCCGTCTCCGGGAGAAGGGTGGTGATGGAACCGGCTACCAGAGATAGCGCGCCGATTATCAGCAGAGGGAGACCCGGTGTTGTCTGGTGCTGAAAACCAGAGGGGGGGGGAGGGTCAGAGGGCGTCGTTTGGTGCTGGAAAACAGACGGGTAGGGAATGTCAGAAGGTCACAGGGTGTTCTGTGATGCTGGAACACTGGAGGGGCCGAGGGGGTGAGAAACGGTCACAGGACGTTAGTCGCGTTTACATAGCATTTTTGACGAGGCTCTAGCTCGTTTATTTGGCGATAATTTCGATGCAGTGGTCTTCAAATATTTAGAGGGGATCATTTTGTAAATTGTTAAACACCATTGGCATCTTTTGCAACATCACGAACGGAGATACAGGGTGATCGAAAAAAAGTGTCACCCCTAACTTAAAATCTACATAGCTCGCGACTGGTAGGTCGGATGACTTCGCGCCAGGCAGCATTGGAAAGAGCAGGCAATTTCTTTTCAATTGAATGTATTCATGATTGTTTTCTATTCCAAATAATGTCCCCATGGGCTCAAAAACCAATCAATGCGCGGCTTTCACGTGAAACGAAATTTACCGAACGGGATTGGACACCGCTGAACGAGAACAATGAGTATCGTAACTCAACATGACACACACCTTACACATTACACATGGAGTGTATGTTGTTCACTGCAGACTGTTTCTCAGCTGACCTTAGACTCGTCTTCACTCGAAGTCGAGTCGGTGCTCGAACCGACCGCCACCGCAGGCGATGCACGCCTTATTCACAAATTCGCCGGTAACTAGCGAAACATTGCGACAACCTGCACTACCGGATTATCAATTTTATGCAGCGGTAACCATGAAACAGTTAAGAAAAATGCTCACGTGAGCTGTCATGTGAGCTGTCAGATCAAAAACTCTGTCAAAAGTACAAATTTGCACAAGCAAACTTTTGAACACGCCAAATTGCGTCATTAACATACTTTTTGAACAGCTACATCTTCGTTTGCGGCATAAACCATGCATATTTACATCCATTCGAAAGGAAATTGTATGCTCTTTCCAATGCTGCCTGGCGCAAAGTCGTACGACCAACCAATCGCGAGTTATATGGCTTTTAAATTAGGGGTGACACTTTTTTTCGATCACCCTGTATAAGCTTGCAACAAACCCTATGTAAACGCGTCTGTTATATGGTGCTGGGAAACGGAGGGGACGGGACGAGGTCCCAGGTGTTTGTCCGTCCGTCCGTCGGGACGAGGGACGTCCGTATCCGTCGGGACGAGGTCCCAGGTGTCCCAGGTCCGAGGTGTTCTGTAGATGAGTGAACGGTCAGACGATCTAACGTATATGGATCATGGTTTACTAATCTCCAGCGAGTGCAGTTCTTTTAGCGACTTTTAGTGACCAAACGGCGATTGAAGCAGACTGCCGAACGTAATGATGGATAAATCCGTACATCCGTTACATCCGTACATGAATAATTACATCCGTACGTCATGGAAATACTGCTGGATAAGTGCGGTATACAGCACACCCGTCCCAAGTGTGTGCAATGTCCCACGTTCGAATCCCGTCCCGCACTGACCAGGTAGACGATGGACGGGCTGACGAAGATGGCGATGCCGCCCATGGTCTCGTAGAGCGCCAGGCTCTGTCCTCGTATCACCGTGGGGAACAGCTCCGGTCCGTACTGCAGGCACGTGCTGTATGCGCCCATAATGAGCATCCTGCCGGCCAGCGCCAGCGCTAACCGGCCGCCCGTGGCCAGCGCTGTGCAGGGGGGGGGGGGGGGCACGGGGTCAGTTAGGGGCCGTGGCCAGCGCTGTGCACAAAGGCTCGGAGTTAGAGGTGCTGACATGCCAGCGCCAGCCCGCAGCCGGTCGCCCGAGGCCAGCGTGTGTATAAAGGCACGGGACAGTTAGGGGCTAGGGCCCGTGGACAGCGCTGTGCAGAGAAGCGGTACACGGGGTCAGTGAATGTCAGGAGACAAACGGGTGATGACAGTGAATGCTCCGGTGAATTGGCGTCGCCCATGACTGTGTGACCAGTCCTCGAGCGTTTTTTTTTTTACATCTACGCTGCAAGCGAATCATAATGAAAGTAATGAACTAAAATCATTTACACTCGGATGCCTGCAAAATGAGCCATCCATGAACTGCGAAGCAAGCTCTGAATTGATACAGTCACGTTACTCACGTTCCATTATGTCCTTCCCTCTTCCTATTCTCTCATTGGCGATTCTCCCTTAGTCTTCCTTGCTCAACATATCCCTCGCTTATCCAATCACCGTCAATTATCCACTCACCGTTTCCGACCACGGCGTAGGCCACGCCGCAGAGCCCTGAGGTCACCAGGAAGGTCACCATGGGCCAGCGCCTGCCGAAGCGCTGCAGCAGCGGCGGCACCAGCAGGGCGGCGGCCACCTCCACTCCGCCGCCCAGGGAGAACGAGACGAACACAGAGCTGCCCAGGTTACCTGAGTTCTGGCTGTGCCCGTAGAAACACACGTTCGACAGCATCCTGCGGACCCGGGGAGGATGTCAGATGAATAGCAGCAAAGGTTGTGTCCGCCACACAATTTCTTATAGGTAACATCCCATGGGCATCCTTGTCTCATCACTAAATCACCGATGGAATCAAACAAACTCGTAAAATTACAAGGGAGACACAACAGGTTAAAACAAACGTGACTCACTCCCCAGCAGCACACGTCTCGTTATCGCAGCTACAGCAGCATCTACCAAACATCACCACTTTCACCTCACAGTAAGAATACCACCCCCCGACCCCCGATAACCTCCGTCGAGCCTCGCTCACCATAGTAGCGTGACCAGCGCCAGGTTCTTCATGAGCCGGGGGTGTTTCCACACGTGCAGCAGGCTCTCGGTGGGCTGCTCGGGCTCGCCCTCGCGCTTCTCGACCATCACCTCGCAGAAGACGGCCTCGTCCAGCTGTCGGCCGTTGACGGAGGCGACGAACTGCAGCACCTCGCGGGCCTCGTCTCCGCGGCCGTTCACCATCAGCCAGGAGGCCGACTCGGGAATATACCTGGAGGACAGCGCGGGTTCAAATCCCACCGCTGGCAAAAATTTACCGTGGTATAATAATCCAGCAGCAGATATTCGCTTTTTTCATCAAATAAATTGAACATCGCAAGAGAACGACTCCCAAAAAAAATCCAGAATTAAACATGTGCTGCTTGCTAACGATCGAAACGTCCGTTTATCATTTTTAACGGATCAGCAGTAATTACACATAGGAAATAAATAAAATCTGCGCCGAGGTCGACTCGCCGACCGTCCGTCGCTCTCTCACCGGTAGAGGGCGAGGGCGAGCAGCAGCGGCGCGCTGGTGATCACCACCAGGATCCTCCAGTTCCAGATGGCGTAGGCGATCCAGGGCAGCAGCAGGCCGCCCAGGCCCCAGGAGGCGATCAGCAACATCAGCGGGTACGTGCGGTACGCCGAGCCGCAGTACTCAATCACTGCAACCGGAGAGAGGGGATTTAACAGTTTTTATATCGGAAAAGCATCCACATGTACTTTATTTTCAGTCAACACGGGACCTAACTATCCATTGTTTAAAAAACGAAACAACATTATTGCAAAATCAACATTCCACAATCCACAGGCCTGAAGGCCAATAAGACTGAGGGCGGTGAAACTTGTGTCCTTACCCAGCACGTAGGGCAGGTGGCTGACGGTGTTGTGTTGTGTTGTGTTGTGTTGTGTTGTGTTGTGTTGTGTTGTGTTGTGTTGTGTTGTGTTGTGTTGTGTTGTGTTGTGTGGTGTTGTGTTGTGTGGTGTTGTGTTGTGTTGTGTTGTGTTGTGTTGTGTTGTGTTGTGTTGTGTTGTGTTGTGTTGTGTTGTGTTGTGTTGTGTTGTGTTGTGTTGTGTTGTGTTGTGTGGTGTTGTGTTGTGTTGTGTTGTGTTGTGTTGTGTTGTGTTGTGTTGTGTTGTGTTGTGTTGTGTTGTGTTGTGTTGGATTATGTTGTGTTGGATTATGTTGTGTTGTGGTGTGCTGTGTTGTGTTGTGTTGTGTTGTGTTGTGTGGGGTTGCGTTGTGTTGCGTTGTGTTGTGTTGTGTTGTGCTGTGTTGTGTTGTGTTGTGTTGTGTTGTGTTGTGTTGTGTCGCGTGGTGCTGCGTCCTTACCCAGCACGTAGGGCAGGTGGCTGACGGTGTTGTGCGCCGAGCCCACCAGGAAGCGGACCAGCAGGATGGCTGCGAAGCTGGACGGCTGCACAAGTGTCAGCGCGCCGCCCGCCGCGTACACCAGAAAGGACGCCAGCGTCGCCGGACGGCGGCCCAGTCTGCCGGCAGAACACGCACACGTCAAGAACCTTAAATATGGCTAAAGAGGGATAACGTTTCCCTATTGATTAACCCTCGCCCCGTTGGGGGCATTTTGGCCCCCCCTGTTGTTTTTCCTGAATAGCAAGAAAACAGCGGCGGGCAGCGCCGCCAAATTTCCAGTACCTTCCCGGGCATCAATTTGACACCTTCACACCAAATTTCAAGTCTTAGGTCACCTTAGGTCAGGAGTTATTGAGGTCAAACTGAGGTCATGTTCGAGCAAAAATGAGCAAAAAACATGCAATCTTGAAACGCTCACCAAATCTACAGTTATCAAGCAATTTCAAAGTTCTTTATATGGTCTGGTAAACAAAAAGCGGCGCTATAAAACTGCTATCTCGGATTTTCAAAATTTTGGGTTTTTGACCCTGAAAAATTCAAAAAATTGATTTTTTTAGAAAAACTAAAACAAAATCAAAAATTTTTCCGAATTTCGAAAAAACCGGAATATATGTGATAGTCCCTGCGCTCTTCTATATACATACCAAATTTCAGATCGATATCTCGTTTTTTTGGCCAAGTTATAGCGAAAAAACTGTTCAAAAATGATGACGTCAAATTTTTGAACTCAATTTTTAGCGATTCTAGACCACGTACGGCAAAACAAAGACCACCATTGAACTCCCCGTGACGAGCTGCATCGATTCGATACCCATTTTATGCAAAATATCAACTTTGACATTTGACCTAAGTTGACCTGACCTTGACCTGACCTTGACCTGACCTTGACCTGACCTTGACCTGACCTTGACCTGACCTTGACCAAAACGTGACCTAAGCTGGCCCCAAAGGCTGCCTGACCCACATAATCGCATTTGTCATGTAAAATGGACCATAAAACATGTATCACACGACACTTTCATATTGTGACTCCCCAGTGACCTGACCTCTGTGACCTGACCTGGTATCAGTGACCTCAAATAGCAAAATATGTGTTTGAAGAACATTTCCCCATCGATGATTTTCAATGAAATGCATTTTACTCGATTTTACAACGCATTTCTTGAAATGCCTGTAAACGGTGAAAATTGGACCTTTGACCTGACCTGTGACGTCATCGGTTTGACCTAGGTCAATAAAATTGGGTCACCAGGTAGTTCCCTGATAGGGCTATCCAACACCGTTTGCCGCTTGTCGCTAGGTTGCGTGGTTCTCGAGATCTTAGGGGGGGGGGGCAAAATGCCCCCCCCCCCCCCAACGGGGCGCGTTGCTCGGTAGAGCCCAACGGGGCGCGGGTTAAGGACGCAATTCACTTCTAGGAAGGGGCGAGTGGCAATTTTGGGCTTATGTGGCTTGAATAGAATGTCCTGCAATAATCACATGAAATAAACCATGAACTTGTTTCATGGAAACTTATACAGTTTTTCGTAGTTTTTAGTCGTAGGTAAGATTTATATGATCTATGTTTCATACCTTTTTCCATTTTTTCCGTACGACCTTTGTTACGATATCGAAGTTTCGTTTCTCGTTACGAACAAGCTGTTAGAAGACACAAATCAACAAAAGCAAGCGTCTCTTATATGGCATGTCGTATCCGAAGGTTGGGACTTTTCAATTAAGAACAATCACTATTCTTTAGAATTGTGATTTTCTATTGAAAATCCCAACCTGAGCTACCTCTCTAGGGGGACATTTGCGTTTCTGCCGGAAATTGGGACATTTTGATCCCCGCGAAAACGGCACGGTAGAATTGCTTGCCATTTTCAGCGTTTGGTCCCGTATCGGGGAGCTACCGGCTGGCATCGGTCGCTTGAAATATAATTAACCCGTTTTGGGGTAATCGGCACGTGCATTTTCCCATAGGGTTAACATGGGGGAAAATTGGAAATTTGATTTGCGAAAAATTTCGTCAATTATATTTGCTGATATTTTTAGGGTCGGATCTCGGGCTGGCACCCCAACTGACGGTGGTAATTATTTAAAATATAATTGACAAAATTTCGGGTAATCGTCACAAACAATTACCCCATGTTGAGCCTATGGCAAATTCGAAAAATTATTTTCAAATCGATTTTGCCAAAAATTTCCACGTTAGATTTTGAAAATATTCAAATATGTTGTGCCCCGGGGTGTCGGCTATCACGTGGTATGGGTCAGATATGGGGCGATTGAAAAGCACGTGCCACGTGCAAACGTGTTTGATGGGGTAACCTCCGGGAAAATCCGACATTGGCCAACTGGGGGTCCTATGGCGCGGAAACGACTTCACCTAGCGACACCAAATCAGTGCAGCCGGTGAGCAGATGAGTCCAGCTTGTAGCACTGGTGGTCACGTGGCGCACGTGCTATTGCACGTGCCGTGGCACGAGGTCAATTTTTGTGCTTAAATATACTAGCATTGTGAAATGCAAGGAATGGGGGAAATGGCCGTCAGGCCGTCAGTTTTTATGATAGGGTCGATCTGAAAACGGGTATAGGCACAGAATGAAGGGGGTTAAAAAACTGCTATCTCGGATTTTTTGTAAAATGAAAAATTAAAAATTCTGGGGAAATTATATATTCGAAAGGTGAAATTTCCCTAAATTTTCCCGTTTTTCGAGTTTAGACGTCCACTGTTCAGAGACGGTGACACCGGCCGGGGTCATCTTTTACATGCTGACGGGTACGTCGATGGGTCATCACGTGGCGTGAGCGGTGAAGCTATCAGAGGTCCGGCACGTGCCACGTGGCCACGTGTTTGAGTCGCGTACCTCCCAGATTATCGTGTGTTTGCCGATTTGTGGCCTTATAGCACGTAAACTGCACCAGTCAAGAAGCCTGAAATGGTGCAATCGGTGGGGGGACAAGTCCTGCTTTCACCACTGGTGCTCACGTGGCACACGTGCAAAATTGGGCACCTCCGTTGCGGAGATATTTTATAGTGAAATATTCAAATGTACAAAACTTTGTCAGTTTAAGTCCGATTGGGCTAGAATTTGGTGGGTGGACGAATTTTTAAGCGACATGAACGAATGCGCCATGTTTGTTGCAGTGCGCCACGTTTGTCTCAAAGCGCCATTTTTGCCGCAAATCGCAGAATGTGCCTAACTTTGTCGAACATGGGACGATTAGGATGCGCTTTGATTGAGGGATGGCTGCTTAACCCGCGCCCCACTGGGGTCTGTGTATAACACGCCCTACTGGGGGGGGGGGGGGGGGGGGCTATTCATAGCCCCCCCTCCTAACTCCGAAACTACTGGGCCGATCGTCAAAATTCAAACGGCGTCTGATAGCCCCGGAAAAACTGTCGAGCGAAACCTAATTTCATTGACCTCGAGGTCACCGATGACGTCACAGGTCAGGTCAAAGTAAAAATTATTAGCACTTTGGCTTGTTCACATTTTGGGCGCTGGCCGCCGTCTTACAAGTCAGATCAGGCTCATTTTTGGTTTCCACACTGGTGAACAGATGCTCTAGATACCTTGAGGGTATCAAACTTGTACTTTGATTTTCAGGTCAGGGTCAGGTCATCACAGGTCACGAAAATATTATATCATGCGTCGGTCACGTGACACATGTTTTATGGTCCATTTAGGCCATAGATTTCGAATTTGATGTCGTCTGTGTCATTCAAGGTCATTTTGAGTCGAAATTAGCTTAGGTCAGGTCACTTTCAGGTCAAAAAAGGTCAAATTTTGAAGTTGAAATTTTTCAACAAAAAAGGTGTCTATTGGATGCAGTTTGAGCTCAGGAACACGATGGTGCCATTTATATTGGTGTACGATGCCAAATACGTACTGAAAAATTGATTTGAAAAATTAATAATTGTGAATTTTTTGCAATAATGCGTATAACTTGGCCATTTTTGAAGATATTTAGCTAAAACTTGCTACAGTTAGTCATAACCATGCGTTCTGTCACATATATTCCGGTTTTTTCGAAAAGTCAAAAACTTTTTGAAAAAAATATAAAAATATAAATTTTGAATATCATTTTATAAAATTTTCGAAATTTTCAAAATTTTGAAAATCCGAGATAGCAGTTTGATAGCGCGGTCAATTCTGAGTTCTTTCATGCAAAGAAATTGGATCTAGCTTAAAAACTGAGCTCTTGGGAGCGATTGCCGTGGTTCAATGTTTTGCGTCGAAATCGGACGAACATGACGTCACTCTGACGTCATTTCCGGCCGACCTATAGTAGCTACGAAGTTCAAATTTTGACACAAGGTGTCAAATTGATGCAGCCGAAGGTACTGAAAGTCTGGCGTCGATTCGTAAAGCGGTTTGGAAGTTATTGCAGAAAAACGGGAGGGGGGGCTATAAATAGCCCCCCCCCCAGTGGGGCGCGGGTTAAACGGCAGATATGAATGCGCCCCATTTGCCGCAGGGCGCCATAGTTGTCTTAATGCGTCAGTGTTAGCGTTTTCCCTATGGCGGGCGTTTTTTTTGCGGCGGTTTTTGCGTTTTTTTTCGGTGTTTGCGTTTGACGGCGAGCGGCCGTTTTTTTGCGTTTTTTGCGGTGTTTGCGTTTGGCGGCGGGCGGCCGTTTTTTTGCAGCGGTTGGTGGCGGGCGGGCGTGCGTTGCGGGCGTTTTTTGCGGCGTTGTTTGCGTTTTTGCGGTTTTTGTGTTTGGCGGCGGGCGGGCGGGCGATGCGGGTGTTTTTGCCGTTTGCGTTTGGCGGCGGGCGGCCGTTTTAGCGGCGGTTTGTGGCGGGCGGCCGTTTTTTTTGCGGCGTTTTGCGGTTTGCGGCGGGCGGCCGTTTTTTGCGGTGTTTTGTAGTTTGCGGCGGGCGGCCGTTTTTAACGGCGTTTTGCGGTTGCCGTTGGCCGGCCGTTATTTGCGGTTAGCGGCGGGCGGCGGGCGGTCGTTTTTTTTGCGGCGTTTAGCGGTTTGCGGCGGGCGGCCGTTTTTGCGGCGTTTTGCGATTCGCGGCGTGCGGCCGTTTTTTGCGGCGTTTCGCGGTTGGCAGCGGGCGATGCGGGCGTTTTTTTTGCGGCGGTGGTTTTTGCGGTGTTTGCGTTTTGCGGGGTACGCGCGT